GAACGCTTTGTTGTTTTTCATTTCTGAGGCTATACCCAAAATTAGGTGAGCACCATCGTGTTTAATCTCCCGCTCCCTGCCCTCAAACTGGTCCTCGTCCGTCTATCCGGAGAGGTTGAAAGGCAAGGGGCTTTAACGGGACTCGAACCGGGTGTGGAGGGGGTTTGTCGATTGTGGATCTGACGATCTACCGACTGAACGACCTCGGTCGAAGTCGAAGTCGAACTCGTTCGTGACCAAGCCGACTAGTTCATCGGGCCTAATGTTTCATTTCGTTTAGCGGAGTTGACCACCGCAGTCCTCTTTACCTTCGTGGCACCGGAGCTACCTCTGGACGAAACTTCAACCCTGGCGGTTCGGACGGAATTCACGTTGAGTCAACGGGCAGTCCCTCGAACGCGCTGCACAAGCAGCACTCAACATCGTCGTCGGATGTCCTCATAACACAGGTGAGCGATGGACTTGGTTCGTTTTCAAGAGGGCTGCCTCGCAACAGATGGCAGCAATCGAGTTGCGCTCTGCCCTTTCGTGTCGAACACTCTTGTCGCTTGTCGAACGCTTCTTGTCAGGGTTGATCGCTTTCGCGATAACTAGAAAATGGGCTGACCGCGATTTGTGAACGTGAAATTTGAAATCTATTGCATGACTAGGCATAAGCTGTGAAAGCTGCGATTTTGGGCGCAATAATGAAACTTTCACAGTCGCACGTCGCTGCTATGTTTTATGGCCATCTGCTACACTGCTACGCAAAAACAGCCATTGAATCTTGATGGGATATTTGCGCAGGGCATTGAGCCTTCATTAACTTTAATGCAAAATATTAGCAATGCTGGGCACTCAATCATCTTTTAAGGTTGTCCGTAGTAAAAGTGACCTTCACGAGGAAGCGTGAGGCAAATGCAACAGAGGTCAAACTTAAGGGTGATGTGTTCAGCATGACAGTAAGACCGGTGCTTAAGTACGAAACTGAATGCTTGGTTACCAGAAGTGACACAGGCAACAGCTGAACTCCATAGCCACCCAAAGAAGTACCACATGTGGAACACGTTCATAAAAGCATCTTGGGTGTAGCACGGCTGCAGGAAAACTTGTCAAGTGACGGCGATATCAGAAAGGGCGATGTGAAACTGCGAGGAGTGACAGAAGATTTGATCAAAGATCAAAAACGTTGAGGTAGTTGACTCGAATCACTGCCCTCTGTTAATGGGAGTTAGGAAAAAGCAGCTGAAGATGCCAAAGTTGAAAATAAATTTAAACACGCAACAGTGTTTCTCATTAGGTTCAGGGTAGAAAAATGCCATCATGATGAGCACTGTGGCGTGTCCGAAATGTTGGTTTGAATAAATTTTTCGCCTCGACTTGTGCCTTTAATCGTTAGGTCACAAAGCCATCTGTATTGTTGAATTCTTGCCACAACGAGTTTCGTAGTTTTGGACTTCTCGCCGCCAATGACTATATTATTTAGTAAAGCAGTAGTGCGTTAT